ATTCTAAGACAGTTCGCCCTTATCTGTTCGCGGGCCATTCAACACGCATATCCCAGACCCTCGATACCCGCCCTGTTCGTTTTCGATCGTACCCCCTTGGGGGCGTATATACACTATATATATACATATCTCTCTTGCTTACCTGCAACGTGTATTTCAGGCAGCCCCTGAGGCAGGGGAAGAAAGGACAGATGGAAGGAAGGGACAAGGGGGAAGGGGAAGGATGGGGCACGAGGGAAAGTAGCAAAAGGGGAGCTAGGAGCAGAAAACACCTGGCAAAGCCAGACGGGTAGACCCTAACGGGCGGGTCGGAAAGGCGGGCCCAGGCGGCCAGATCGAGCAGGCGGGTTGCTGAAGCGTGCGCCCTGCATGAATCGCGAAGAAAACTTGAACGAAAGTGCGATTCCCAAAGAACTCGTGAGGAAATCCAGAGCGTGATTCCCGAGTGTCGAGGGCGCAGCGTCGAAATTCGCCAGCTCAACGGGCCAGAGGCGTGCTAAGATCTCCGGCTACTGCTTTACAATATTTCTACTTCGCGCGCGCGGTGCGGCCCCTGGGGGTCCCCGGGCGAAAAGTACCCCAGGACGGTCCCAGCAGACTCGGGTCAGAGCTGGTTTTGCTCTTAGGCGCCGCCCTCGAGGTTCTCCAGAGAGCCCCAAGAAGGGCCAAGAGGCGTCCAAGAGGCCCTCAAGATGGTACAAGAGGTTTGGACATGCCACAAGATCGCTCCAAGACGCCCAAGATGGCCCTCAGAAGTCCCAAGAGGCCTTCAAGAGCACTCCCAAGAGGGACCCAAAAGGCAAAATTCAATGTTTTTCTTTCGATGTTGGAAAGAGTTTGGCGTTTCCACCTTTTCGGCGTCCCGACGCACCAACACGGCCCAAGCCCCCAAGATCGCCCCAAGAGGGCCCAAGAGGCCCCCAGGAGGGCCCCAAGACGGCCCAAGAGGGCTCCAAGACGGCTCCAAGACGGCCCAAGGGGGCCCCAAGAACGCCTCAAGAGGGGCCCGAGAGGGGGAGCACGAAACAACATTTCGAGCCCTCGGTCCTGAGAAGACCCGAGGAGGCCCCAAGAGGCCCCTTAGAGGCCCCAAGAAGCCCCCAGGAGGCCCTCAGGAGGCCCCCAAAGAGGCCTCAGAGAGGCCCTCAAGCGGCCCCAGGAGGCCCACAAAATACCCACCCGAGCACGCAAGCAAGCGCCAGCGATGCTACAATATGGGCCAGCGGAATAAGCGAAGCGATTGAATGAATTGCGAGGAAGTCCCACGCGGGAGCGCGATTCCTGCATACAAAATGAAGAAATCCAGCGCGAGAACACGATCTGGGAATAAATTCTGAGGTGTCAAGCGGGAGCCGTTGTTGCTGTTGCTGTTGCTGTAAGCCGGAAGCCCAAGACACACTTCTGACACAATTCTGAAACAGGGTGCGAGCCCTGGGAAGGGCACTTCAATTGAAAAAACATCATGTGCCCAGGAGGGGAAATCGCTCTTATCTGCTCTTATCTGCTCGCGGGCCACGTAGATTCTAAGCCGAGGCGGCAGCCGTTGTTGTTTTAGTTTGGAGGCCAACGACGCAGTTTGGTAACCCCTCGCTTTCCCCTGTAAAAACAGGGTGCGAGCCCAGAGAGAAACACTTCAATAGAAGCGTATACTGGTTACCGAGCAGGGGGGATCAACAATAATCATGATTTAGACATGAGGTTCCGGCGAGAACAGCAACACCAACAACAACAATAACATCAACAATAATAACAGCGACAACAACAACAGCAACAACACCAACAGCAGCAGCAACAACACTAATAGTAAGACTGTTCGCACTTACCTGATCGCGTGCCGTTGGACGCGTGTAACCCAAACTCTCGGTACCCGCCCTCTTCGTCTTTGATCGTGCCCCCCTGGGGTTCTCAACCTGCCGCGTTTGAACGGGTGCCGCCCGTGAACCAAGTGAAGGGAGGACGGATGGAAGGGCGAAGGGGAAGGATGGAGCACGGGATTCGAAGGGGGGGGACCAGGAGCAGAAGACACGCAGCAGAACCAGACGGGCCCGTCGGGCGTGTAGACCCGAACGGGCGGGTCGGGCAGGCGGGCCAAAGTCGAGCAGGCAGGTTGCTGAAGCGTGAATACGGCATAAATCGCGAGTAAAGCTCGAGCGATCGCGCGGTTCTGGAGTACATCGTGACACGTCCACAGCGGAGAGCGTAGCTCCTGAATTTCGAGGGCGCGGCGTCTGAATCAACTGCGAGGAAGTCCCACGCGAGAGCGCGATTCCTGCATCACTTGAGGAGAAGTCCCGCGCGAGAGCGCGATGTTGAAATACAATGTGAGGAAGTGTCAGGCGGAAGCCGTTCTTGTTGTTGTTCGGAGCCCAGCAATACAGTTTGGTAATACCAAGCTTTCCCTAATAAACAACAAGGTGCAAACCCCGAGAAGGATAACTTCGATTGAAACAATACAGTGGTTACTGGAGGGGGATCAGCAATACTTACTTGTTCAACAACACCAACACCACCAACAACAATACTCATTTAAAGACGGTTCGCTCCTATCTGCCCACGTGCTAATCAACACGTATATCACAAACCATCGGTACCTGCATTCGTCGTCTTAGATCGTACCCCCATTGGGGGTAAATTTTCCTTACCTGCCACATGCAGTGCAGACCGTAAACAAGGGAAGAGAAGACGGGTGCAAGGGGGAGGGAGACTACTGGAGCACGAGAAAAATTAGCAGGGGGACTAGGAACAACAAACAAGTGGTAGAACCAGACGGGCAGATCGGGTGGGCAGACCCATAGCAGGCAGGTCGGGGAGGCGGCCCAGGCGACCAGGTCGAGCAGGCGGGTTACTGAAGCGTGGCTCGTGCACGAGTCGAGAGGAAGTCTTGAGCGACAGCGCAATTCTCAAGTAAATCGTGAGAAAAGCCACAAAGCGAGACGTGACTCCTGAGCGTAAAGGCCGCATCATCTTAATGAACTGCGAGGAAGTCCCACGCGAGAGCGCGATTCTTATACAAATTGTGAGGAAGTCCCCCGCGAGAGCGCGACTTGGGAATAAAGTGGGAGGATATACCAGGCGGGAGGAGCCGTTGCTGTTGTAAACCTGATCAAACAACACAGTTTGAACAACACAATCTAAACCGGGGGCCAACAAAAAGGGTGCGAGCCCCGGGTGAAGCACTTCAATTGGAAGAATACAGTGGTCACCAGAGAGGGGATCAACAGTAACTCTTCTTCAGTAGTGAGTTCAACAACAACACCAACACCAACACCAACACCAACACCAACACCAACACCAACACCAACACCAACACCATCACCAACAACAATCATGATTATTCGCTCCTGTCTGATCGCGTGCTTCTCAACACGTGTATCCCAAATCCTCGGTATCCGCCCTCTTGGTCGCGGATCGTACCCATTTGGGGTATATCTTCCTTACCCGCCACGCGTGTCTAGCACAGCCCCTAAACAAAAATGGAAGAGAAGGCGGATGGACGGGGGAGGGAGAAGGATGGAGCACGAGAAAGATTAGCATGAGGGGAGCTAGAAGCAGAAAGCATGTGGCAGAACTTGACGGGCAGATCGGGTGGGTAGACCCTAACGGGCGGGTAGGGAAGGTCCCAGGCGACCAGGTCGAGTAGGCGGGTTGATGAGGCGTGAGTCCTGCATACATCGCGAGGAAGTCTCGAACGGAAGCGCGATTCCCAAGCAGATCGCGCGAAAATCAATAGCGATAATTCCCTTCAATCCGTTGTCTCTTCCCCTGATTTAGAAGCAGCATCAATTAATTACACGCGGCAGCTAGGGAAGGTGTACCCCCAGGGGGACACAATCGAAGACAAAGACGTGTTGACTGGCACGTGAGCAGGTAAGAGCGAGCAGTCTTAAAATGATTGCTATTGTCGCTATCGCAGTCTCTGTTGCTGATGTAGTTGTTGATGCTGGTGTTCTTGTTGCTGTTGCTGTTGTTGTTGCTGCTGTTGGTGTTGTGCTCTCATCTCTAAAGAAGAAGAAGAAAAAGAAGACGAATAAGAAGAATAAGAAGAAGAAGAAGAAGTATGGTTGATCCCCCAACGGTGACCAGCGCATGTTTCGATTAAAGTGCTCCTCCCTGGGCTCGCACCCTTGCTTTTATCCGGGAAAATCTGTCGTCACCTAACTGCGCCCCTGGCCCATGGATTACAACAACAACGGCTCCCCGCCTGATACTTCCCAATTGAATTCACATTCGCGCTCTCGCGCGGGACCTTCCTCATAATGTGTCAAGGTATCCCACCCTCGCGCTGCAATTACTTCCTCAGAATTTCTTGCGGCGCCGTGCCCTCGAGACTTACACATCACGCTCTCGCTTTGGATTTCCTCACTTGGGAATCGCGTCATCGCTCAAAACTTCCTTCATGATGGGTTGACGCTCTCGCGACCCGGCCGTCCCGCTCCCGGTCCCTAGATCCTGCTGGGTCCCACGAGGGGGGGGGCCTGCGGCGAATCCACAACGCAATCATGTTGCAACGGGCGGAGGGCGACGAGGAGGGACAACCATGCCGCACTATCAAAACATAGTGTACGTCAACTTTGGATCCCAGGAGCCATGAGGAGAACACGGTCGGGTACACCGATCGGAGGCGTTGTGCGAACCGGGCAGCAACGCGTGAAACTCAACGTTATGGAAAAATCTAGAAACGCGGGAATGGCACGGAGACGGTATGGAAACGACACCAGAGATGCGCGCGGACACACCCGTTGCCACGACTAGGCCCTGATGCCCCGAAGCTCTCCTAAAGCGCTGCATCTTTCCGACATCTTATTTGACGGCCCCCCAGGTCGGGAAGGAGCACGAGGGGCCAAAAAGGAGTAACAACTCAGGAATCCAGACCCTCATGGCGCACCCACGATATTGTACGGGTGCGGCAGCGGAGCACGACAATGAAACGACAAAAAACGGCGACTGACAACAACAAGAAAACGCCCCCAGCGCTTCCTACTTCCATCTGAGCCGGCGACGGACGCGAACTCGCCGATGTTCCACATAGGCAACTGGCCCTGTACCGCACTCCATCCCTCTCTATGTATTCGCTGCCCTGCGAACCAGGATGAGATAAGCAGCAAGCAAGCGATGGCGATGAAGCGTACCACCATGATGCCCATCGTGAATCTCTTCGTCTTCTGGATATCAGCGAAGCAGAGTGGCAACACTAGGAAGAACGTGACTACGACGGAGCACTTGTAGATGATAACTCCGGAATGCACATCGCATTGGTGCACCCCATTGCTAGCCAAGTCCACAGCAGAGCACATGGTGCCCCGAAGGGACTTGTTCACTGTCACTACCAGCGCGGTGGCGGTGCCCAAGACGTATATCATGACAGTCGCGTAAATCATAGCTGACCACACTCTCCCCCTCGACCCTTTCAGCACCTGCTCCCCCATAACTCCTAACTCAAGCCGTTCCCGGATCTTGAACTCGCGTTCGGCATTGCACCCCCGATTATCGTGCACGAAGAGGTCGACCGTGTTGTGGTGCTTAACCATCCTCTCCTTCAGCAGCGGCTCCGAAATGGTGGTTACTATCTCCTCCTTCTCCTTGCGAATTTTCGCCAGGACTTCGGGGTCGTTTTCTAATTTCCGAACCTCCGCCGCCTCGTACTGCAATGCGTTGGCAATGGAGAGGGCTTCGCACATGAACGTGGACGTGACGAAGGCCATGACCATGCAAACAAAGAGTATGAGGGCGCCCAATGCCAGGCCGGCCCTGCTGAAACCGTAAGGCAGCGTCAGCAACGACAGGCCTGTGAGCGAGTTGAGGATGAAGATCGTAGACGTGACGGGACCCACCCTCGGAATAACAACAAGCGGCATTACCTTTCTACGTCGCGGCGCGGCAGAAGCAGTCCGCACGCGCGCTCAGGCAAGTCGGATGACGGCGTTGCGGATTGCCCTGCAAGAGTAGGGAAACAACAAATTACCTAGACATAAAACTTTGAGGTCCGCGCGGATTTGCCGGATCGGCACTCGACCCCCCTCCCTGGCGCGCGGAGCGCGCCAGTGGCGGCGCCGGAGGCGCCGCCAGACGGCTCCAGCGCGGATCCGAGAAATCCGCGCGGACCTCCGAGTTATTATGTTTATGTCATTCCTCGTTCCCCTAAAGAATAGAAGGCAAAACATCCACCCCCATAATAACCAACCCGACACGCGAAGCCGTGTACTGCACGCCCCACTGAAGGAATCGAACAAGGCAGGCTGTTTAGTAAACGCCCACGGCCGCTTAGTCAACGCCAGTTGTCCGGTCCGAGGGGTTTTTCCTCCCTTGAATAAAACAGGGCTAGGATCGGGATAAATCGCTCCAGAGCGCTCCGGAGCGCTCTCAGAGCGTTCCAGAACGCTCTGGAGCGGCCGCGGCGCCCGATACATCCTCCAAACCCGCCGATTCTCAGAGATTTCGAGTTATCCCGATCTGATTTTGTCCCGATCTTCGCGTCGTTTTATAAACGCCCACGCCCGTTTAGTCAACGCCAGTTGTCCGGTCCGAGTGTTTTTTCCTCCCTTGAAAGCAGGGGAAGCAGGGGAAGGAGGAGGAGGAGGGGACGGAGGGGGAGGGGGAGGAGGAGGAGGAGGAGGAGGAGGAGGAGGAGGAGGAGGAGGAAAGGGAGGAGGAGGAGGAGGAGGAGGAGGAGGAGGAGGAGGAGCAGGGGAAGGAGGGGCGCGGCCGTGGGAGGAGGGGAGGGAGCCGAAGCCCTCGCGCAGCGGGGGGACCGCAGCGCGGCGCCCTGGGCGGCACGCGGCCGGCGCCGCACGCCCCTGGCAGTGGGCACGGGGCGGCACGAGGCCTACTCCATATTTCGTTATCAAAGGGAGGGGGTCTGGACCCTTCAAGACATGCCATTTCAGACCTCCCCCGTGGGAGAACCCTCCAAAACATCGTCCCCAGACCCCCCAGGCCCTCCAAGACAGCCTGGAAGAGACCCCCCCCGGAAATGAGACCCCCCTCCCTTTATTACGAAATCTGGAGTAAGCAGCCCTGAGGTCGGCACTGCCCGGCCCCGTTCCCAGAGATCGGCGCGGACCTCTGAAAGATGGCATGCCTGCGCAACCCGCCATCGTTCGGACGTCCATTCCCCGTGCAGGCTTCGGTCTCGTGCGCGCATTTTTCGCAGGACGATCCAGGATGCTCCCCGATGTTCCTCGCCGATGCAAGATGTGCACGTGTCCGAGAGCGATTCCGAGGCAATTGCGTGTTCCCCCGAATCCTGTCCCCGATGAACGACTTCACGGAGTCGTCCGCCAGCTCAGAAAACTGCCGCAGCAGCTGGGGGTCCTTCGCAAGATCAGGCAGCATTGAGTCGGGCATTCGGATCGACTTGTAACATGCGTCGGATCGGGTCGCATCGGCACGGAATCGGAATCGTAATCGAATCGAATCAGTCGCGCCCACGATGCTCAACGGAGCCGCGCAAACATAGAGCCGCATCGGGTCGCCAGAATGTCGAAACCGCATCGGATCGAACCAGTCGAGATCAATTTTGAATCGGATCGATCGGATCGCAGTGGACTGACCTTGTTCTTGTCATAACTCGGGCCTCCCGCGGCCGTTCGGGATGATCCAGACACCCCCAGAACGCCCTCGGCGAGGCGCAGCTGCCGGAACGCATCCCGAGGCAGACCTCCCCCAGGAGCCGACCACTACACCCGAAAACCCGCCCGAACCTCGATCCTCCGACCTAGTCGGCCCTCTTCGATCCAAGGCAGGCCCACTGCTCCCCAGACCTCCCTGGGCATCTCCCGGGATACGTTTGGACCCGAATCTAGAAGAGAATCCTGCAATGGCAACGAATGAGCTTTGCAGGACGAGCAGCGGTATCGGTACCTCCTCCTCCTCTGAGGATCGCCCTGGCCGAAATCGATATCGATTCGGATCGAGCGGATCGGCATCGGACCACGCCTTCGTGCCTGCGAACCATTGGGAGCGGTAGGGGAAGGAGGAGGAGGAGGAGGAGGAGGAGGAGGAGGAGGAGGAGGAGGAGGAGGAGGAGGAGGAGGAAAGGAGGAGGAGGAGGAGGAGGAGGAGAGGACGAGGAGGAGGAGGAGGAGAGGAGGAGGGAGGGAGGGAGGAGTGAGGGAGAGAGGAGGAGGAGGAGGAGAAGGAGGAGGAGGGAGATCTTGTGTTGACGCAGCAGTTTCCTGCACATCTGGTCCGGCAGGCGCCTCCACCATGCAGACAACGAGATAGATGCCGACCCGCCCAATAGACCAATGCCATCCACGGAACACACGACGAGGCCCACCTCGAGCAGCACGAGCACGAAGGCGCCCCACGGCCTGCATGACCAGCAGCAGCAAGGGGCCCAGCACAGAGTGAAGTAGAACGGTGCGGCATACAGCACGAAGGCAACTGTAGCAGAGCCCGAGGCCACCGAGCACAACCTGCGCGGACGAACCCGAGCGACTCATAGCAACTGTAGATAAAGGCGTCGCCCAACACCCACGATGCCCACGAGCCCAAAGCGACAACGTGCTCCCTGGAGGCAACAAAAAGACGTATGGCACCTCAAAGTTGTACGAGGCGGTGTAAGGAGGCATCCACAGCATGTGTAGAGACGGAAAAAACACCACGCTACCCAAACGCCAAGGACTAACAACGCCATGCATGCCCCGTGGGCCTGAGCTAGGCTAGCCTGACAACTCCACGCCGCGAGAGGAAACGAGCCCTGTGCCACGACATTGGCGTAAGCGCGCAAGAAGTACAACCCCAGACCATGTGGGAAACAGCGCCGTGGAAACCACATCCCAGCGTTCACCTCCGAGAAAATCTTGCCCTCGCAAGCGCACAGGTAAACGGACGTATGGTACAGCCCTGGGAGCATCCACGGGGCAAACGACCAGCTTGAACCAATCAAGATTGACTCGAGATTGAACCTTGAGCCAGAACGGCTTGAGCCAAACTTGCTACGGACGGGGAGGGAGGAAGGAAGATGAGGAAGGAGAGAAAAGGAAGGAGAAGAAGGAAGGAGGAAGACGAGGGAGACGGGAGGAGGGAGGAAGAGGACGAGGGAGGAGGGAGGAGGATGAGGGAGGACGAGGAGGAGGAGGAAGAAAAGGAGGAGGAAGAGGAGGAGGAAGAGGAGGAGGAAGAGGAGGAAGGGGTAGGCGTAAGGAGGTGGAGGAGGAGGAGCATGAACAGGAGGAGGAGGAGGATGAGAAGGATTGCAGTATAGTGCTGATGGCCGTAAGGGTAGGCATAAACCCTTTTGAATCGAATGGGGCATTTGGGCTCTCCCACCCTTTGAAATAGGTGCTCGATGCTGGCACCGGGTAGTTATGGGTGATATGCGTGTAGCACATATCCAGCGGCAGCCATCTCTGCCTCGTTGCACTGTGACCGAGGACGGCAACGCATGTGGGTCAAACGTTCCATCATCAAGGTGACGAATATACCTATGTGTATATATAGGTGTGTGCAGGCGGGGGTTAGAGCGGTAGCCCATCGGGAATAAAGGGGAGCCACAACACACATTGATCACTCACTCTGGGCTTTGCCCCTTCTTACTCCCTCTATTCGTTGGACAAAGCTGTTGACAGAGCTTCGCATGCCTCGAGACAACGGCACCAACATGTGCGAGCCTCAGGACTCACCCCGAGGCCACGGCAGGAATTCACACCTCGAGTGTACCACCGTCGTCCAACGACCGGGGTCAGAACGCCGTCCCATTGGGCCTCGAGGGGGAGCAGACTCGCACCACGCTGTGCCCAGAAGCCCGAGAGAAGCTCTCCACTCCAAGAACACCCAAAAGCTCTCCAATGTGTTCCGAAATATGGCTGGCAGCCGGCCACAACATCCCTTGAGAGTCGCACCTGGCCTAGATTTGAGGTTACTTGCTACAGTATGCCCGAGCGCGGGCAATCAAGGTATCTGAGAAGGTCTGGAGCGAAGAACGGGTGGCAGGCTGAAACCGCATCTCGGCCAAAATCGCGGCACCATCTTGAATATAAATCTTTGCTGTCCTCATTGAGCTCCAACGACCTCGAATCATCACTTTAGGCAAGTCGCCTGGCAACAAATGTTCGTGCGTAGCACCGCCTCTACGTAAACTATACGGGACGAGGCCAAGATGCGTGCAACCAATCTCTCGCAGGCCAGTGCGAAAGAGCAAATGAAAGGCACGAGGAGACGAGGGCCACAAACGCCCGTCACGCTGCAGCTGCATATGGACGACCGCTCCCACGAGCGGGTCATCCAGCGCCACCGTCTCTCGCGATCCCTTCTGACAGGCTGTCTTTGTCCAGGGCAACGACACCGCGCCTCTGCCGCAAGGCTTGAGCTGAATGGCGCTGCTGGAGAGGCCGAGAGCCCCGCCTGTCCGAAGGCAGAGGTGGAAGCGTGCGAGGATCGTCGCGGCGAAGGCGATCTCACCGCGGCCCAGCGCCCAGCCCGCGAGCGCACTGCGCACCAGCGGCGGCATCGGTGGCGCACGCTGCGGCACCTGTAGGCGCCCCCAGACCGACAGCAATCTCCACGCGCCTGGGTACTGCCGGCGCGTCCCCAACAGGTGCTGCACCCCACTCAGTGTATCGCTAGCTTGACCTTTAGTGGCACCTTCGGCCCACAAGTATTCAAGGTAGTCTTGTAATGTGACACCCATGTCTTCCCAACTGAACGGCAGCGGCGGATTCATGGCGTTAAGATAGTCAACAAACTGCTGGGCTGCTCGACGGTATCTGGCGAGAGTGGCAGCGCCGATCCGGGCATCCCGCAGCTTCCCCAGGCCAGCTCTGGCTGCACGCCTGTCGGCGGGGCTAGAACGCTTCCCCATCCTTCAGGCGCGACGGCGCGTCCGCGGGGTTCCGAGCTGATGAGGTGAAGCCGAACACCGCCCGCGCGCCCATCGCCAGCTCCCAGGCCGAGAAGCTGCGCACAACCTTGTTGAGCTGACTGCTGCTGGAGCGGTGCTTCGAGAGCGCACCGATGTTGACCGTGCTGTCGAGGAGGTGCAAGAAGACTCGCTGCTGTCGGCCCAAAGACCGAGCACGCCATCGAATCATCATCAGCGCTCCCTGGCACTCCAGCACATTGATATGTTCAGGAAGATCCCACACCAGCTGTCGTGCCTTACGCCACTGCCAAAGACCTGCATCAATCTCTTGCCGAGGGAAAGCTTTGCTGAGCTCCTCAGAGCTTCCGTCACAACGAAGGTCCGCACCGTTACTGTGGCACGCCATCACAAGGCCCATCACCAGCCTACGCGAGACATCTGAATCACGCCAGGACGTAGCATCGCGTTTGGCCAGTTCTGCAAGCAGCACATCTGCATGACATGCCTCGGACTGACTGCAGTGGCAAACCAGCTTGGCGCCGCGCAAGTCCTCCAGGCGGCGAAGCAGCTCGGGCTGGCCGCGCAGCCATCCAGCAAACAGCGCCACCGCGTCCTCGCGGGAGCAGCTCGGGCTCACTGCGAACGGGTTGCCGAAACACGACGGGGCGAGGCTCCAGCGCCGTGAGCCGCGCCCGACGTAGACGAGCCTGCCGGCCGCCGCCGGCGCCGCCGCGGCGGGCCGCTCGCCCGCCCGCTGGCGCCCGCCCGATGCGGCTGCGCTGCGGGCCGCCAGCTCGCCGCAGACCTCCGCGTCGACCTTCGCGCGGCTGCGTCGCAGCGAGGTGACGTCGCCAGCCCGCAGCTTGCGCCCGCCAGCCCAGGCCCGAGCGCTCTCGTGCAGCTCGGAGAATGGCGGCACCGCCACCAGCAGCCCAGCAGCGACAGCCCAGTGCGCCAGCAGCCACGCCACCACCTCGGCCATCTCAATAATATATCCTGCAGGTGGCCGACGGACACCTTCAACGCCACCAACAAGCTCGCCCAGAGTGGTAGCGCGCACCACGCGGTGCAGGTCCTTGCCCGGGGAACCAGGCGACCCTGCGGCCTCGTAGCAGGCCCGAGCGTCAGTCAACAGCTCGAGGACCGTCCCGCGTAACTTGTCGGCCTCAGATTTGTCGACGATCTCGGCGATCTCTAAGTTGTCGATGTACACCATCCAAGCAGGCGGGCAGGGCTTCTCTGCGCCAAGCGGCAGGCGGCGGCGCCGGGTAATCTCGCAGCTGGGGCTCAGGCCGCGAGGCACCGCGCTGCTGCGACGCAGCATGTTGCGATGAAGATGAGTCGTGACCCCCACCGCGCTGATCCAGCACTTGACAGGGGCGTCGTGGGCCTTCGGAACCCCAAAGGCTCCGTTCAGCAGCGGCGACCCATCCCGGCGCGCGATATCAGGCGCGGAGATCGAGCCGACCATCCCGCGCTCATGCAGGGCCTCAACGATGCGATGCCA